CTGTCTTGTTGGGTCTCAAGAGTGAGAAGTTGTTTTCGCTAAGAAAGGCGAAGGAGGGGTTGCGCGGAGGCTCCTTCTCCGTGGTGGGCAAGTACACGACCGAACTCCCCTCCATAATGCACAGTCGACGCGGCCGGCGCTTAATCCAAACGAGGTGCGAATCCAGACGCTGCACTGCTGACTGTACAGGGAGGTTGTTGGAGTGTTGCTCCGACAAGGCGTTGACGTATCACTGAGGTATCCCCTGGCGGGAGGGTTGATCATCGTGTTCAGGCTTCTTCTACTGCCGCCTCACGGATCCCCGGCCACGTGGTCCGTTTCGGTAACTACTCCAGTGAACTACTGTGGTGTCTGCAGATGAGAGGGCGTGTCTGCATCCAAGAATCGTTGCCACTACACTGAGCCCAGATCCCGCGCGCTCGCCTCAACCCCCGTAACCAAAATACCTTCTCGTTTTCTTTGTAGTAGGGCGTCCGACCCGCAATCGGAGGCGGCGCCGCAAGATTTCGCCTGGTAACAACCCCTTCCTAGGCCTAAACGCGACTCATCCACGTACATTGTACAATGTGCAAAAATCGGTGCTTTTTTCTTCTCCCTATAGTTGAATGTTAATTCACGTTCAATGTGAAAATCGTCATAGTGAGAAAACTGCTAGTTTACGACGTTGGCAAGACGCCCAACCCACCCACGAAACACAACGTGTAGCAGAAGCAAGCAAAATCTTGCCTTGACGTTGACCAGAGGCGCGTGGCCTTGTCAAAGCAAGAACCTATTGAACAATTTGCATATAGCTATGTTGCAAAGCGCCTTATATTTACACCTTCACAATGCCTGTGTAACACATTCTTTAAAGAATAGTTTCAGAGGTCATTCTCATTCTTGGGTGTAAAAGCTTCCGACAAGTTATTTAAAGAAAGTAGGTCAGTCGATAACGTAATTGATCATATTTTCATTGGACGAATGAGTGCAATATATATATATATTTTTTTCATAATAAGTACTTATTTATTCTAAAGACAGGTATTGGTAAGCAGACTAATAAACCGTGACTGAATGGCAACCAGAGATAACAGAGACATAGAAATCTAAGCCTTATTCCTTTCAAATAAGAATAAAGGGGATAAAACAGTCCCTTATAGAAATCACATAAACGCAGATATAACGCACGCAGCAACCATTCAGATAAATCACTATGTATATAACAGTGGAAATAGACACAAGCAGAGCCAAGATCCGGGGTGTAAACAACAGAGCAACATGTGTTTGGTTTTAGACGAGAATAGATGACATTGTAATATATCCAAATACGAGACGGAGTTGCGGAGTTCCATTACCTGTTTATACATAACCCAGGAGATGAAAAAGAGAAAAGAAAAGAACAAAAACCGGTTTGAAGAACGGGTTTTTGTAAGCCTTCACAGAGGAACTTTATGCGTTTCGCATCTCATCAACAAATCAAATAAACAAAGGCATGAGCTTGAAGACTGCCTGTGCGTCAAAGATGGACGTGAGACTGCACACATGACATCCTTATCAATTTATTTGTAGAAGGGATACGTGGCGGGTTTGATAATTAAGGTCTGCTTCTTCGTGAATTGTCATTTTAACTTACAACAATCTCGTAGTGAAGAGGTGGTGCTAATGTTGACAAAAAGGCGAAGCAGCAACGCTACATTCGCGAGGTTGCATCTAATGAGCTACCATGTTTTTATTACATTCTCAGTTCTATTATATAACCAGTTTGACTTTGTTTATTTAAGCACTGCGACTTAAAATGCTGTAAACAAAATATGATTCAGCATTCTAAGATAAACATGTTACTCATCAGATGATATAGAGAAAAGTTTTAACTTCGTCAGATAGGCCTACGGTTGGAAGTTGTGAAAAAGAAAGGTTGCCGCTTTCTTCCCCTTTTGCGTTTGTTTATTGCGTGAAATTCTAAGCATCACTGACAGGACAGTCATCTGGCGCATCAATGTAGGATATATTTCCTACACTTACATACAATATACGCCTTCCAACAAAGAATTCTTTACAAATCAGTAATTTTCCGTGGGATTCCGTGGGGTATCACAGAGCAGGCAGGGTAGCATAACTATATTTACATTGTGCGTCCCTTCGTCCATGTGCCTTGGTGACTCCTGGACCTTCCAAGCCAATTAAGGAGACGCGCCTCGAAAGATATGGATCATTAATCGTCGTCAGAGAACCAGACAGAAGATGAACCAAACGCAACAAAGAACTGAGTGTACTCCCTTACCTTGTGCAAAAGTGCAAGGTTACATGGACACTATTTCGCTCCCTTTTTTTACAAGTGTCTGCCAATGTTCGCGCGCCGAGCCTGTAGTACGATGCTCTTTGTGTTCGGGTGTTTGTTCGTTTCTTGGTTTGGCTGTTTGGGCGTGCAGGCGTTTGTTTGTGTGTACGGAGGCGATTGAGTAGGTGCAGTGAGGAATGACACGTGGGTTAGTTGCACATGTAACACACACACACACACACA